AGTTATTTATTATAAGACTATATTATTTAAGATATAAGGGTTATTAAGTTATACTTAAAATTAGTTAATATTATTATAAATATTTATAATATATTTATTTTAAAAGAAGTTAATAATAGTATCTAATAGTAATAATAGTATTTCTTATTTATATTTATATATATATTACTTTTAACTATATGATCTACTAATTTACTAGGGTAATATAAGTAAGTACTAAAACTATTAAGCTTTATCCCCTAGCTTAAGAATACTATAGTAAATATTTTAATATTACTATAATTAAATATCTTTTTATTTAAATAAATTAACTTATATATTATTAATCTTATAATATATTAATAAAATTAATTCTTATTAATCTCTAATAAAACTATTATTTTTTTAGTTATTAAAAAACTTATAAAAATATAAATAACTTTACTAATAATTTTATTAAAAATTTATTAAAAATTTATATAAGATTTAATTTTTTTTAAATTTTTTTTAAAAAAGCTTTAATGATAATAAAGTTTTATATAATTTAAATAAGAATTAATTATAAAAAAAATAAAAAAAAATAAAAAAAAAATAAAGTTATTAACTATTTTTTAATAATTAATAAGGCCTTTTAGTATAAAATACTTTTATCTTTAAGTTCTATAAATTCTATATAATTTTTTTAAGTATACTATACTAAATTTAGTAATAATTAACACTGCCTATGACTTAGTCCTAGGTAAATTGCCTGGGACTAAACCTCGGAATCATGGCCTAAGGCGCAGCCGCAAGCTGCTTAGTCACGCGAGGTGCGGTAGCTGGAAATGCTTCAACTCCCCGCTGCTCAGCACTATCACCACATTCAGCTGCAGGCCATTGGCACAACATCCCCGCCACAAACCATGACCTGGCTATCGGGCTCCGTCACAGTGACAGGGCTATTTCTTTTAGCACACGCGTATGAAACCACATTCATGTCGCCGTACATATATTATGCTAACGCTGGACAGATGCTACTCTGCGCAGGAGCATACGACTCTGTCTACCGCGCTTGCGAAGCACGCCTTGACACACCAGCAGACAAGTATCTATTTACCGATTGATATATCCATCGAGGCAATCATATCGACGTTAATTGTATGCTTTGGACTTGTCTCGGGCTCCCAGACACTGCGTCCGATACAGTGGAATGTATGGGCAGGGAAGATTGAACGAGAAGGCGATGCTGGTTTTCTGAATGGATCTGGCGAGGTCGAGAAAGATTTTCGCGGAAGTCCATTCATATTTCTTGACAGTCGGCCAGGCTTCGTGGATATTCGCAAGAGACGCCGCCAATTTATGGGCTGGGTCAAGGCTGAGGCAAATTAGCGAATGGAGTTCACAAACAGCAGCAGTGATAACTCACGGATCAACCAGCGCTCCTAACTGGAAGACACTGCAAACGAGATATGCTGTTCAGCGCCAAAATACAATGGATGAAACAATGTAAGCCAGCGCTAGCAGCGTTTTGCAAATCAAATTTGGTTAAGTAATGACAGAGCCACAAATCTGACCTTAAACCAATGCTTGCATCCCACAACACGTGTTTAAATCAGGTTCAGCGGCAGCTTACCTAGTATTCCAGGGTGCTGCAACTGCGATTTTCCAGCATGACGACATGCAAACGCATGCACACCCTCTCTCCTGCATCGTGCACCCTCACAGAAAAAATCGAACACAGGACCGTAAATTTCATGTTGTTTCCCGCGAGAGAACATGACAGAACTTCCTAAGTGAGCACCGAAACGCGAGGCAATTCTGCACAACGGGCGTGCTATGACCGGGAAATACCATCGCGAGATTGTGCAGACTAGACACGCAGCCACATGGAGACAATGACGAACAGCGATCGCCCTCCAATACCAGAACATTGCCTAAACAACATAAGAAACACAGTTGCAAGGTTCCCTATGCTCGAATTACCCGCGCGTCAACACATTGTCGCCGTTCAGCGACAAATGCCAGCCCGATGTGAGGCTGGAAACAACTGCGAACACCACATAGGTGATGACAGCAGTCTAGTGGCCATCACTGATACGATAATGGCCGTAACAATATCAGACAGCGATACGATGGGATGTGCATTCTTTTCAACCCAGGACAGTTGTCTTTTCATTGCGCAGGACGTGCCACTCGTAGATGCGTCAGTATTGCAGCATTTCCTCGAACATGTACAACCATCATCCATATTGATTCCCGCGAGGTTTCCCAACAATATGGTCGATGTTATTGGTGCTTATGTCGACAGCTCCTACCTAGGTCAGTTTTCTCTTTATCGGTCTCCCCAGACACAGTCGTAGCTAACTTTTGAACCAGAGCACACCACGCGGGTTTCGCACGTCAGTACGCTTGCGAACTCCGAGTTTTCTATATCGACATCCAAAGACAGACTTATAGAAGTCTTTTCAAAAATAGAGAATGAGCCTCGTACCATTTTTCATCTACAAAAAGTATATCCGATCACGGACAGACCTGCAAGAAGCAATCTACCTGATCTTGAATCCACAGCCATGCACTACTTGAGGTTAAGTGCCAGATTAGGCTCCAAAGGTTCAGTGTCTGTAAGATATGCGCGTTTATTCCTTGGTTTCAACTCTAATTGGTAGCTCACATGCGCTGGTGCCGTTGTCACTGCGGTCAATAAACGCAGAGCTGCGCACTCTCAGCAAGATATCGGGCTGGCCGAGCTAATGTACAAGATTCAAAGCATCGAGCAGTTCCATTTGTCCGAATATCTATACATAAGCTCATCTTCATTGTCCACTCTGCAGATTCTCCATTGCGAGGTGCATCCGAACTCGCAAACCTGGCAAACAAATTTTGGCGCCGCGAAGAAAGAAGGATTGTCCGTATACGGCATGTTTCATAACTTAGCATCAACCTCACAGGGCCGCTTACAGCTGCGGAAGTTATTCCTTCGGCCAAGCACAGACATCTTTACGATAACTGCGAGACATCGAACCATTTCAATTCTTTTGCAGCATCAGAACTCCGAGGCTTTGAGCCAGATGGTCTCTGCTCTTAGAAGAGTTCCTGATATGATAGAAGTGCTTTCAAAGCTCAGTCGAGGCATTAGTCTAACCTCTATGAGCTACTTCTCAAGCGGTGGTTTGTGGGCTGCGTTGGAAAGGTTTAGCAGCAATGTTATGGAGGTGCATATGCTGACAGGATCATTGTCGGGCTGCGAATCTGCGCCACTTTTGAGAAATGTAAGGCAACGACTCGCAATGTGACCATCTACTAACCAAGGAGACGGAGTTAAGTTCCATAGTACTGTCGAGGTTGGAGCCATCGCCTGTGTAGAGACACTCGTTAAAAAAACCATCGACTTCGAACAATCCAAGTTACGGGGGCGCTACTGTATTTTGAGCGGAGTTGACCCGGATCTCGACCAGCTGAAAAGGAGATATGACGGCATGGAAGATTTTCTGACGCAAGTTATTGACAAGATCATAGAGAATACCGCCTCGTGGGCTCGGCAGTATATTAGATCTTGCATTTTCCTACCACAACTTGGATTTCTGTTGGTAATTGATCTCGACGAAACGACTGGTCAAGGAAAATATTCTGGCGAAGGGCAATCGCACGATACATGGGAGAAAATGTTCACAGCGGATGGCTCAGTCTGTTACAAGACGAAGCAAATGCACGAGCTTGATGAAGCCTATGGTGATATATACAGCCAAATAGGAGGTAAGCAGCCGATTATCGACAGATTTCAAGAAAGTCTAACTTGTGGATAGACAGAGAAGTCGAGTTGTTACACAAACTGGCTTTGAATGTCTTGGAGTACAGCTCTCAGCTGATGCTTGCATCGCAGTTGAGTGGCGAACTGGATGCAATCCTAGCACTTGCCTTGGGCGCCCAGAAATATGGTTGGACTGAGCCAGACATTATCAGGGATGGACATACGCGTATCGTTGGCGGGCGGCATCCGCTTCACGAGGCATCCATGCAGCACTTCATACCCAACGATTTCGGCACTCCTGTTGATGAGGAAGGATCTGATCAGAAATCAGGCCGTGTGTTAGTTGTCACGGGACCCAATCATTCCGGAAAATCTGTTTATCTAAAACAAGTGGCACTCATTATCTATCTGGCTCACACTGGCAGCTTCGTTCCCGCAGACAAAGCTGCAGTCACAGTTACGGACAAGATACTAGTGTGTATTCCGGCTCAAGAAAGCGCATCGTTAAATGAAAGTGCATTCGCTGCTGATCTCAAAAAAGTATTACACTCGGTAACGCAAGCAACGAATAAGAGCCTAGTACTTGTTGATGAATTTGGGAAGGGTACCTGCCCTGTCAACGGCGCAGGATTAGCGGCAGGCTTGTTGGATCACTTTCTTTCTCTTGGTAGCCGACAATGTCCCCGAGTTATTATTGCGACTCATTTTCATGAAATCCTCGAACTCGACTATTTCAGCAGCAACGAAGCTCTGAGGTTAGCCCACATGGAAGTGAAAGTTAAACACGACGACATTGGGACTGACGATGAGCCGTTGACCTACCTTTTCTTACTCCAACGAGGTAAAACTTCCTTCAGCTTCGGAGAGCAGTGTGCAACAATGAACCGTGTGCCAGGAGCAGTTGTAAAACGCGCGGGGGCGCTTTCTTTGATTATCGACCGCGATGGAGACCTTACGGCCGCTTGCGCAACCCTGTCGCATGCTGAGCAGGTCCAGCTAGAAACCGCAGAACAAGTTGCTAGAAAGTTTGTGTCTTATGATTTAAAGAATTTGGAGTCACCCAAAACAACCCAAGAAGTTATCGAATCGCTCGATGACTTGCTATCATAGAGTTGGAAATTCTCTGACGGTATGACAGATGGTTGTAAAAGATACGGGGCTAGCTAGCGAAAAAGATTGAATTTAAACAACGATCGACTCCATACAACCATTTGTAGAGCATCTGCATGACAAACAAAGCACGCTGATCTGAAGTCGGAGATAAATTCTGACTGCAAGAAGAGGGCGGCTTCCGCGATCTCGAAGAACATATCAAAGCGCAGCTTCAGAAAACCCATGATTCAAGAACCAAGGGGAAAAAAGTGACATTCGAAAAGGCCGTAGGTATGGTCTCAAATTTATCAAACCAGAGTCACGGCGACCAACAGCAATAGCCATGGTGATGACATTGGAGCAATCTTGAAAGTACCCGAATCTTGACCAAAAGATGCACACGTCGCCGAATCTAGGGCCCCACAAGCCAGGGAGCTCAGGCTAGAGCAAATCGAAGTAGCCCGACTGCTTGGAAAGCTAGCACCACCACCTGTGATCGTCGTACCAGTATTACCTGGAATAGCAACCGTAACATGGTGACTATTGCCCATCTGAAGTGTTGCCATGCAGGCGCCGTAATTTATAGAGCATGACTTGACGGCAGAAGAGCAGGAAGCATGGTTCCCAAAGGTAGTGGCGGCGTATGGAAACGGAAAGTATGGATTAGGGACCCATGAAGGAGATCTGGTTGAAGCAGTTGGTGCAGAGGCGGGCGCAGTTCCTGTGCATACAGCACTAGACCCGTAGCGAGTTAAGTCAGCGGAATCAGTGATTTAAAAGTGAAGAACGATAAGTAGGTCTTACCCTTGAGGGCAACATGCAGGGTTATTGCTGGAATCCGCGGTGCACATCTGTCCGTTTTCGCAACATATGTCATTGAACGCCGGACCAAGTGATGCAGGGCAATGGTATGTGTTTGCGGGGCATCCAGCACGGGGCAGAAGTAAGGACGCGCTGTCGGTTGGCGTTGGCCAAACCATCGCGCCGCTGCCAAATGAATAAGTCGTCGGTATGACTAACGTGAAGGAAGCTGGTATGGTCCGCGGTGTAGTAAGATTGAGAGCGGTGAGGTCTTGCTATCTATTTAGGTGGTCCTGCTTCGCCACGCCATATGAAATTGTTAACGGTAAATACCCTACCAACCTACCTAGCTAGGTAGGTACCTAGGTACTAATCTATAAGGTATTGTTTACTACCTACCTTTAGCTTTCGCTGAGTGGAGAAGCATCATTATGTTGTCACTGCCCTTTACTGAGGTATATCACAAATAAAGAGTATGCGCTAACGGGTTATTGACTGGCCTGGCAATTCCATTGATCATGTTTGGTGTTTGACATGTACCGCGTTCCCTGAGGTAAGAAACAAACCGTCACTACCCAGTACGTGGTTGACACAGCAACCACGTTACTACAAACCGCCGCTTAGATGTGGCCTCGTATGTGAGCTAGAATTTGCCTGAGGCGTTCTAAAGCCTTTGACTCAGGGCTTTGCATGTGCGCTTGTGATCGAGCGCTTTCGATTTCGCGCTTAGCGCCCTCTACCAAGAACCTCAGATCTCCCCACACCTCATCCGTGTATGAGCTGAGAACATCATGCCATTGCTGCAACCATATGTCGCGAGCAACCCCCGTGTCGTCGATGCCGGTGTGTAATTTCGCTTCGCAGGAGAGGTTTGCATCAAGAACAAACCCTGGGCTGAAGCTAAGAAGGCGATCCAAAGCCGGTTGCGAAGCACTATTAGCAAAGAAGGCTTCTTGAAGGCGAGCGGCTTCTTGCTCTGATAGCAATTCATCGAACTCCATGTATTCTGGCTGTTCTTCTGGCATTGAAAGTAATTTGACGACATCCGCACCGTCATCCGTTGTCTGCTCCCGGAACGACGAATTATGTACTGATTCGCCGCTCTGAATAGTGGCCTGGAACGCATCTTGCACCTGCGGCGTCGCATTGAGAAACGCGTCGTACTTGAGGGATGCTTGGCTGAAGGTATGGGGATCCTTTCGCAAAGAACCACTAAGCGCAGGAGTGCCCTGGCTGCGTGAAGCCTCTGGCAGTGAAATTTTGGATACCGGGCCTTGATCCTGAGTAAGGCCCGTGGAGGCCTTGCCATTGCTAGGTCCAGCAAGAGATGGCTGCGCTGAAAAAGCAGCGTTCAAAGCCATTCGCCCAGATGCTTGTAGGCGACTGCCAAATTTGATCTCTCTCTCTTTGCCTTTGTTGTCTTTCTTAGGCGCTGCTTCCGTCGTCGAACCATCGTACGACGCTTTCTGAGATGAGCCAGTGTCAACGCCATCGCTCTCCATTTTGAGCTTTTCTTATCGGAACACGGAGGTAAATAAAAGATGCTGGAAAGTTTAGAGCAAATAGGAGGCAAAGGAGGCAAAGGAGGCAAAGGAGGCGTCGAGCTTAGTTTAAGTTCTAGTGAAGCCAAGTTAAAAAATATTCTGATTAAAAGATAGGGGCTTACAGTAGGTGGCAACAAGTATTTAACCCCCTTAAGGTATCGCAGCCCAGGTCTTACCTAAATAGGAACATTAAAATAATACTACATTAATATAAAGCTATTAACCCTAACCCTAATAAAGTTATAGTAGACCTAGTAGATTATAATAGATAATTATAGCCCTAACCCTTATAGTATTAATATTAAGCTATAAAGGTATTTAATACTAATATTTCTATATATAAATAAAAGTAACTAGTAACTTATTACTTTAAATAAATCCTTTATTTAAGACTAAGAATTAGTTAATAGAATTATAATATTCTATAAGTACTATATCGGTCGGAATCGACCGTTTTAGT